AAAATTGACGGCATGTTTCGGGTGTTTGTATATGCTTTCTTACACTTGTTATTTTCTGTGGGATTTACAGTAATTACAGCCTTATGAGTTTATTACTTAATTTTATTACACAAAAATTAGCAGATTTGCAAAATAGCATTTTTTAAAACTTAATTCGCTCTTTGTTCCGACAGTAATGCGTTATGTCATGATTGCACTGACCTTAGTTTTATGAACAGTAAGCAAAATTGTCTGTTCTCTGAATACATAATTAAAAAGTTTCTGGTCTTTATTAACTTCCTCTCATATTGCAACATACACAAACAAGAAGTCCTTTTCCACAGCGTTTGATAGCGTAGGAAATTCCCTGGATATCAAGAACTTTGGATTTGGCCCCATTCTGCCCCTTTTGCCCCCAGTATACTGATCTGGACTGAACTCTTTCCTAGTAAACGGTATTTTGCGCTTCAAGCCCTAGCCACGAGTAAAATAAACAAACTCCAATGTGGGTTAAATCCCCCACTCAAGTTTTAATCTTCATATTTAATCAGATATACCATCTACTGTAGTTTTGTGAACTAAATGGTTGTGACTTTGCTCTCTCCTCCCCACTCCCCTCCCCCCCTCCCCCAATAGGCTGTCTTGATCCTTCCTCCAGTTATTACGACATGGACGCCAATGTCGCCTCAGATCAGTGCGAAGACCCTCTGGATAACGGCAATAATTTTATTGACGAGAAAACGCGTATGCCATTAGGTGGCGTCTTCGAGACCTGTAGCGGATCAGCAGAACTCTGTGCCGGACGCCAGTCGCTTAATCCAGCTACTGGGAAGGCCGAATGTCCCTATGGGTACATGGCCGTCCAGTTGTTGGAGCCGCAGGTGCGTGCCTGCAGAAACAAATGCCAGCACAGTGTATTTTGGCAGCAGGATTGCAAACAGGAATGCGCTGTGACTACAACCTACTGGTGCGCAATCGATCCCAAGTTTGAGAACTCCACCACTGCCACCGACGTGGGCTTCCTGTTTGGCGGTCTCTTTACCGACACCACCACCAACCCAATGACCAACGCAATGTCCTGTCCCCTCTACTTCGATGCCTACCCGCTGGGCCGGCGTCTACGCGTCTGCCTCTCCTCGGACAAGGAGATGGGACGACGCTATTCACTGCGTTTCGGAGGCTTCTATGCCTGTCAGTCGGGTAATCCACTGGTGGACGTGCTCTCCCACGATCCTGCGTCGGGCAAGAGGCCCCCCAGGCGACTGCTAGGTGCGACTCAAGACTTGAATGCAACAGACAGCTCAGGAGTCCCACAAGCTGCTTGGCCGAAACGTTGCCCTAACGGATACACTTCGCATTTAGCGGTTATCGAGGACATATGCCAGGTAATCTCGCCTGTGGCCTGTTCTGCTGAATTTTGTCCTTGCAAACTTAACGTGTAGGTCAGCACAATTTAGTTTTGCTAAACCATGAGCTCCCCTCTGCTGACATGGCACAGGCAAATAAAGTGAAAGGGATCTTTACCTACCTGTTAACGAATATACCTCTTATAGGCCGAACGATTTGACGACAATGTCCTCTCTGTTAGATGCCAGTGGGCAGAGCTTGTGCATGGAACTACTGCCGGCTCGATTGACATAAAAGACAATTTAGTAACTCCAGTTCGTAAAATTATGCATTTTCCGGTGTCATCTAAGTTCTTGATAGGCGGATTGGCTAGCTCTGGAGTACGACATTTACAAGAAAAACAAACGACCACAGAAACTGCGCTAAGTTGAGCTCACCAGGGAGCCAAATTTGTCAAGCTAACGAAACGAGGGGGTCTAGGGGAAGATAGGTTTCCCTGGCATCCTGGAGTTATTCTACTAATGAATAAGGGCAGAGTATGCCCAAAACAGACTGCATTTTCTGTTTTTTCCCGCTAACTAAACCTACTCTCCTTGAAAAGTAGCACTTAGTTCTGAAAAGAGGCCTTCCCATTGTCGTGTTTCGGTAAATAATTGAACTAACAAATTCAGCTAAAAAATGACGAAATATTTACCAGTAGGTTTTATAAATTTATAATTGTTTTAGCAAAAGTGCTCAATGAGAGCTGAAGAAAATTTAGGAGGATTTAATATTGCAGATTAGAGTGCTGAATAAGTCTCTGATCCATTTCGCAGGTTGTGGCCAAGCATATCTGAAAATGGCATTACTGTTTCGATTCAGAGTTTACTAACAGTACAGTTGCCACGTAATTGAACATAGCATGGGAATTTTTATCTCTTGGTTATCTTTCTGCACTCCTGATAAAGGAGAAATAAGGACTGCTTGACAAGATAAGAGATTAAAAACAAAATTTGTCAAATTTGTGTGTATCACAGAATAAGTGCTTCAAATGTTTTTTCTTCGTAAACTGATCAAAAGTGATATCTGATTGCACGCGAAGCGCCGAGTTAGAAGATATTTTGAAAAAATTCAACAAATCCAAACGATTCATTTAATTCTTTGCTTGAGTAGTCACTTTTTTAAAATTTAAAATCTAGTTATTTGCATATTTTTTCTCAACTCGAGTTGTTTACAAGCCCAATTTCGTATGGTTGTAGATTTATTTACGCAAAACTGAACGATCCTACGTTATATTAGTTAGATTAGTCTACACAGCTGCCTGCTATAGCTCCACCTTATATTATTTTGTTCAAAGCAACGTGCCAGGAATCAAACAAATAGTGACCTAACTTTATATTTTCATCTAAACCAGATGACAGTCAAATATCTGCGTCTCTTCCGGTAATTATAGTAAATGATATATTACAGCAATTGGGGCCTTTCTACCGCTGTAAGAAATGTACTTGCGTCCAGCCTATAATGAAAACATCTGTACTTATCAAAGTCCAACCAGTTCGGGGGCGGTCGCAGTTGTAATAAATAATTCATATATGCATTCATAGAGATTCTTTAAATAAAATCAACTTATTTAACGCTGCACATCCTTTAGTTAAGAGATTTTTTTGATGTTTGAACACTTTTTTAGTACTCTTTCTTAGTTCTAGCCTTCATTCTGCCAAGACAGCGATTGATATCGTTCCCCATAAAATCAGAACGACGGATGCAAACAAAAAACAACAGATTAAATAATTTGCCAATTCCTACGGTATGTGGGACAAATTCTCATCTATTTTATGTCAGGTTCTCAGTGGGTATTTTCCTAAGATAAATAGACGGTTTGATGATACACTTTCTAATAGTGACAAACTTAAAAATTCAGTATTACTTATCAGGCGGTTGCACTATTATACTTTATGAGAAATCATTCAGAAAGTCAAACGTAACCATTTATATGGATGATGGGGGAGTAAACTGATTCGCTGCAGCCACAGGCTGCGTCTAAACGGTACAAATATAAAAAAATAAATCACCTTCTGATTATTTTACGAAAATCGCCAAAACCCACAGGCCCGTTGGAATGAGCAGAAAGAAATTTGAAATCCTGCACGCACTTTGCAGAATTTAAAAATCAATTTATTCGAACACGAGAGCCAAACGCATAGCTTATTAGTATGTAAAACGTCCATATCGCCATGTTCATTGGAAATATTTATCTCAAATGTAGGAGTTTCGGTACACATTTCTCGTAGCTTACATGCCGCAATACGAGGTTCATTATTTATGCTAATTTTGCCACATGTCGAGGCTTGATAGAAAAAAAACAAGATTGGATGGATCTCTGACGTCCAACCTAACCTTTTTTCACTTCCATATAGTGGTTTCATCGTTAACCACTGCTATGTCCTCATCCGCTATACGCTAAAACAGATGGTAGCTGAAAAGAATGAGCGAACTTCATTGCTAATTTTGCCGTCATTTGCATCTACAATTATTCGAAGCATTATAACAGTACACTTGGGAAGTAACTTTCAATTAATACAATAGGAGATAAAAGCCACTTGTTTCCAATACAAGTTTAGTCATAGAGATAAGGGAGTTTTAAGCAGTATTATCGAAAAAACTTTGTTTTTATTGGGAGATAATGAAAGAACTTAAAATTAACATTTTAAATATCCTTCTAAGATTTCAGAGGATCTTGTACGGTATACTGAAATTGCTTTAATTTTATCCTCATTTTAAATAGATTACAATTCAAGTCTTATAGAAGATAATTGCTTCAGAAATTTGTCTTGTTAAGTAGAAATTTAAGAAGGAATAAGCTGTCAATTTCTCTGAAAAGCTTATTTAGGTCGCAAAGGTAGTAGTCTCCCTTCCGTAATTTCACCTCCTTACTTTGTCTTTTTCTTTGCAATGCATCATTCTCCTGCGGGCGAAATGGAAAGATTATTAGTTTGATCGAAATTTATAAAGCTGTATGCAAACACACAATTGAACCTAATTGCATTAGCACATCTTTTTGTGTCTTTGGAAGTAAACTATGAATTATTTAAATTAAGCCGTTATCTCACTGCTAAGTAGCCAATATTAGGTTATCATCATTGGCGAAAGTCTTATTCGGAAAATCAAATCTAAAGCTAACCAAATAAATATTTTGTTGCCTTGATGCTGAGGAATTTGCACATCTGAAAAGTCGGAGGCTAAACAAGCGAAAAAGGCTCTTAGCCACTATATTTCAAACATAGAACATAGACATAGAGGTAGGATGTTTCCTTACCTAAGATTCATGCCTTGCGGAAAAGTCGGCACAGGGAAGCCCTGAAATAGAAACTTTGGCTGTCTTAGTGGTGTCTAAATGGTGTAATGATCTGCGTTATTTATCTTGTCACTAAATGGCGCAGCTGCGAAGAGTTTGGCACATCAGTGGGTCACACAGTGTCACCAGTGTCTGATTTAGTCTACGGACTTAGGATTTCATCCTGTCTTGTTTCAGTATGGTAAATAATTATGCAGTGTATACTACTAACTGCCTGATGACAGCCAGAAAATGCTTCACAGTTATTCCGCAGTAGCCAAGATTTTTGAGCTTAAATATTCAACTCAGGCTTCGACGGAGCTTAGAGGATTTACTCAAAGTTTAGGAATCTATGCCTCCGGAACTTAAACAATGCAGTGCGATGGCCATCAGCCACAGGATACACCGTCCTTCCGAATTTTACGACACAGAGCGTGTTACTAAACATTTGCGCAAATATGAAATCATGAATCTATTATTGTAGTAAACAATTATTATATAATTAGAGAATAAGACTTTCTTTGGGAAAATGTCCAATTTTATTTCGTGAATTTTCGACACGGACCAATCA